GCTATAGTTCGTCGTGCGTTGTCCGCTGGTCCTGTCCTGACATTCTTGACCTTAACAGCACGAAAGCTCTGCCAAGGTTTGAGCAATGCCAGGTACCCTTGTGCCGCTGACAACCTTGGCCATCCAGTGACCTCTGACTGGGAGGGCATTAATCCGGGTCAGCGAAAGCCGAAAGCAACGGTCAGAAGGCACTTCAAAACTTTGGCGACGCAAACCCTAGACCGGAACCGCCTGCTCACTTGCACACATTACTCCTCACGCAAGCAGAACTGGACGCTTTGGAATACAGCTGCCAGGCCGCTGCAACATATCTCCTTGCGTTCGCATCCACTTCGCACTCCTGCTTGCTGCATTATGTTTCCAGCCATGCTTCTGGAGAAACACGAATCTGGGCTCACATCCTGCAGCCTCTGCCTGACAGAACGACATGCCTTGTCCACCTCTTTGGTCATCTTTGACCCTCCAAAAGAATACGCATCTCTGGGGGTTCAGTGATGCCAGTTCAGTCAGTCGCCGAATTAGGATGCCTCCGAGCATGTGGCAGCTGGGGCAAGGGAGTTCGGCGACTCCTGGTGTCCAAATGGTCACCTTGCAACCGCCATGCGTGGGCTTTGGCGAGGCCTGTGTGCACTGCAGCTCAGGCAAGCTATAGTTCGTCGTGAGTTGTCCGCTGGTCCTGTCCTGACATTCTTGACCTTTAACAGCGCGAAAGCTCTGCCAAGGTTTGAGCAATGCCAGGTACCCTTGTTCCGCTGACAACCCTGGCCATCCAGTTACGACTGACTGGGTGGGCATTGATCCGGGTCAGCGAAAGACCGAAAGCAAGGGTCAGAAGGCACTTCAAAACTTTGGCGACACAAACCCTAGACCGGAACCGCCTGCTCACTTGCACACATTACTCCTCACGCAAGCAGAACTGGACGCTTTGGAATACAGCTGCCAGGCCGCTGCAACATATCTCCTTGCGTTCGCATCCACTTCGCACTCCTGCTTGCTGCATTATGTTTCCAGTCATGCTTCTTGAAAACACGCATCTGGGCTCACATCCTGCACCTTCTGCCTGACAGAACGTCATGCCTTATCCACCTCTTTGGTCACCTTTGACCCTCCAAAAGAATGCGCATCTCTGGGGGTTCAGTGATGCCAGTTCAGTCAGTCGCCGAAATAGGATGCCTCCGAGCATGTGGCAGCTGGGGCAAGGGAGTTCGGCGACTCCTGGTATCCAAATGGTCACCTTGCAACCGCCATGCGTGGGCTTTGGCGAGGCCTGTCAGGCAAGCTATAGTTCGTCGTGAGTTGTCCGCTGGTCCTGTCCTGACATTCTTGACCTTTAACAGCGCGAAAGCTCTGCCAAGGTTTGAGCAATGCCAGGTACCCTTGTTCCGCTGACAACCCTGGCCATCCAGTTACGACTGACTGGGTGGGCATTGATCCGGGTCAGCGAAAGACCGAAAGCAAGGGTCAGAAGGCACTTCAAAACTTTGGCGACACAAACCCTAGACCGGAACCGCCTTCTCACTTGCACACAATACTCCTCACGCAAGCAGAACTGGACGCTTTGGAATACAGCTGCCAGGCCGCTGCAACATATCTCCTTGCGTTCGCATCCACTTCGCACTCCTGCTTGCTGCATGTTTCCAGCCATGCTTCTTGAAGACACGCATCTGAATTCACATCCTGCACCTTCTGCCTGACAGAACGTCATGCCTTATCCACCTCTTTGGTCACCTTTGACCCTCCAAAAGAATGCGCATCTCTGGGGGTTCAGTGATGCCAGTTCAGTCAGTCGCCGAAATAGGATGCCTCCGAGCATGTGGCAGCTGGGGCAAGGGAGTTCGGCGACTCCTGGTATCCAAATGGTCACCTTGCAACCGCCATGCGTGGGCTTTGGCGAGGCCTGTGTGCACTGCAGCTCAGGCAAGCTATAGTTCGTCGTGAGTTGTCCGCTGGTCCTGTCCTGACATTCTTGACCTTTAACAGCGCGAAAGCTCTGCCAAGGTTTGAGCAATGCCAGGTACCCTTGTTCCGCTGACAACCCTGGCCATCCAGTTACGACTGACTGGGTCAGCGAAAGCCGAAAGCAACGGTCAGAAGGCACTTCAAAACTTTGGCGACACAAACCATAGACCGGAACCAGGAAAACAGACACACTCACGCCTGCTCACTTGTACACAATACTGTTCACGCAAGCAGAACTGCACGCTTTGGAAACACGCATCTGGGCTCACATCCTGCACCTTCTGCCTGACAGAACATCATGCCTCGTCCACCTCTTTGGTCACCTTTGACCCTCCAAAAGAATACGCATCTCTGGGGGTTCAGTGATGCCAGTTCAGTCAGTCGCCGAAATAGGATGCCTCCGAGCATGTGACAGCTGGGGCAAGGGAGTTCGGCGACTCCTGGTATCCAAATGGTCACCTTGCAACCGCCATGCGTGGGCGTTGGCGAGGCCTGTGTGCACTGCAGCTCAGGCAAGCTATAGTTCGTCGTGAGATGTCCGCTGGTCCTGTCCTTACATTCTTGACCTTTAACAGCACGAAAGCTCTGCCAAGGTTTGAGCAATGCCAGGTACCCTTGTTCCGCTGACAACCTCGGCCATCCAGTGACCTCTGACTGGGAGGGCATTAATCCGGGTCAGCGAAAGCCGAAAGCAACGGTCAGAAGGAACTCCAAAACTTTGGCGACACAAACCCTAGAGCCAACCAGGAAAAAAGACAGACTCACGCCTGCTCACTTGCACACATTACTCCTCACGCAAGCAGAACTGCATGGACGCTTTGGAATACAGCTGTGAGTCCGCTGCAACATATCTCCTTGCTGTCGCATCCACTTCGCACTCCTGCTTGCTGCATGTTTCCAGCCGTGCTTCTTGGAAACACACATCTGAATTCACATCCTGCACCTTCTCCCTGACGGAACGTCATGCCTTATCCACCTCTTTGGTCACCTTTGACCCTCCAAAAGAATACGCATCTCTGGGGGTTCAGTGATGCCAGTTCAGTCAGTCGCCGAATTAGGATGCCTCCGAGCATGTGGCAGCTGGGGCAAGGGAGTTCGGCGACTCCTGGTATCCAAATGGTCACCTTGCAACCGCCATGCGTGGGCTTTGGCGAGGCCTGTGTGCACTGCAGCTCAGGCAAGCTATAGTTCGTCGTGAGTTGTCCGCTGGTCCTGTCCTGACATTCTTGACCTTTAACGGCACGAAAGCTCTGCCAAGGTTTGAGCAATGCCAGGTACCCTTGTTCCGCTGACAACCTTGGCCATCCAGTAACCTCTGACTGGAGGGGCATTAATCCGGGTCAGCGAAAGCCGAAAGCAACGGTTAGAAGGCACTTCAAAACTTTGGCGACACAAACCATAGACCGGAACCAGGAAAACAGACACACTCACGCATGCTCACTTGCGCACAATACTGCTCACGCAAGCAGAACTGCACGCTTTGGAAACACGCATCTGGGCTCACATCCTGCACCTTCTGCCTGACAGAACATCATGCCTTGTCCACCTCTTTGGTCACCTTTGACCCTCCAAAAGAATACGCATCTCTGGGGGTTCAGTGATGCCAGTTCAGTCAGTCGCCGAATTAGGATGCCTCCGAGCATGTGCCAGCTGGGGCAAGGGAGTTCGGCGACTCCTGGTATCCAAATGGTCACCTTGCAACCGCCATGCGTGGGCTTTGGCGAGGCCTGTGTGCACTGCAGCTCAGGCAAGCTATAGTTCGTCGTGAGATGTCCGCTGGTCCTGTCCTGACACTCTTGACCTTTAACAGCACGAAAGCTCTGCCAAGGTTTGAGCAATGCCAGGTACCCTTGTTCCGCTGACAACCTCGGCCATCCAGTGACCTCTGACTGGGAGGGCATTAATCCGGGTCAGCGAAAGCCGAAAGCAACGGTCAGAAGGAACTCCCTGGTCCTGTTAACAGCACGAAAGCTCTGCCAAGGTTTGAGCAATGCCAGGCACCCTTGTGCCGCTGACAACCTTGACCATCCAGTAACCTCTGACTGGAGGGGCATTAATCCGGGTCAGCGAAAGACGAAAGAAACGGTCAGAAGGCACTTCAAAACTTTGGCGATGCAAACCCTAGAGCGGAACCAGGAGCACAAACGCACTCACGCCTGTTTACTTGCACACAATGCTCCTCACGCAAGCAGAACTGCACGCTTTGGAAACACGCATCTGGGCTCACATCCTGCACCTTCTGCCTGACAGAACATCATGCCTTGTCCACCTCTTTGGTCACCTTTGACCCTCCAAAAGAATACACATCTCTGGGGGTTCAGTGATGCCAGTTCAGTCAGTCGCCGAATTAGGATGCCTCCGAGCATGTGGCAGCTGGGGCAAGGGAGTTCGGCGACTCTCGGTATCCAAATGGTCACCTTGCATACGCCATGCGTGGGCTTTGGCGAGGCCCTTGTGCACTGCAGCTCAGGCAAGCTATAGTTCGTCGTGAGATGTCCGCTGGTCCTCCTGATGTGATAGCCACGGTCAGCCCATGACATTGTGTATTTTTTTGCACGCAAACACGCGGAAAGAGGAGGGTTCAACCTCGCATTGAGTAGTGCAGTATTATATATGCTTCAGCACAGGCCAACTGACAACACGCCGAACAAGCTACAAAGAACGGAAGTCAGCAAGAGACAATCACGTTACAGAGCTTGCACTCTCAACTGCGCACTAGGCCGATAAATGCAATGTTTCCCTGTGCAATTGATGCATCAGGCCGATAGCGAAAAACCAAACACCTAGAGCACAGGCACCTTCATCATGGGTGTTGGGTGTTGTCTGTCTCCCTGCCTGGAGCAAGTGGCAAATAGGCAACACACACGCGCAGCTAGGTGTCTCTCGGCGCTCCGTTGCAACTGTGAAACAAGTGTCCTTGCAAACTCTACCAAGTTGGGGGGCTCCCCAACTTCGGCACATGCTCTAAATTGCTCTAATGTAGCAATTGCCAGACACATTTGGACACCAACAGCTCCATCTCTCCTGGTCGACCAACATGATCACTCCGGGCGCAGCGCGAAAACCGTCTCCAGCTGAGACGTCATGATGCTCTCACAGGCCGGGTCCTGCGAACGCTGTCTGCTTCCAGCCGATATCCAATTTTTGAGATGGCTTTAAAGGAAGTTAAAGGGATGTGCCAAAGCCCATGTTTGCATCAGGCATGCCCACATTGGTACCGCAAGACATTACCAGCATTGCTCATTCAGGCTCAGAATCATGCCAGTGGAAACAACCCAAGCTGCCAGTGTGGCTGTACCGCAACAGCGCAAGGCCCATGCTGCAGCACCTTTCGATATGACTAGCCCCCGTTCTGCACAGCATGCCCAATCCTTGTTGGGCCACCACTAAAAACATGTCAGTTGAGGCTTGCGGAACAACTGTTGAAAGCCTTGTCCCATGTCCTTTGAAGGGTCGGGAAACTTTCTATTAGCATTGAAACATGAAGAAATTGCCATGCCACAGCAAAGACATGTCTGAGGGCTGAATCCTTTCAAGCCTATACATTGCGGCAATCGCATCCAGGATCATGTTGGTAGGGTCCAATGGATCTACGAGGATGCCCGAGGTGCTCGCAATGAGTTTGCCAGTCCCCCAATTGCCTCACAAGCACGTGACCATCGATATAACGTTGATCTTCACGGTTAATTGAATATGGTGCTTGCAAGAACCATTCTTGTGGGGAGTTGCGTGTTGGCCTCCACAACAAACACGATAACTTTGGAGCATGGACTGTAGATCAAAACCCTCCTACATCACTCTCAAAGCGCGCCCTTTGGAAACTCGCAGAGCCAGGCGATGTTTGACCACTGGATGTTGCAGTGTGTTTATGACATCGGTCTTAGCAAACCCAAAACGCAAAACGTGAATCGTCTCGTTTCGACACGTGTTTCGGAACGTATGCCCGCAACGTAATCATTTTAATAGGGCCAGCAAGCAAAGCCAAGAATATCGAAACGCAGAATCGTAGGATTTTTCGAAACGTGGCTTTGGGGTCCTGTAGGTGGAGCCCAATAAGATATGCACCCAAGCAAGGGGACCCTCACAAACTGCCCCCAAAGCCAGTTTTGAACCACCCTGAAGAGCTGAGAGAAGGTTGCAGAGTTCTTGGTTTGGGAAGCGAAGGTCATGTACAAGATCTTGGTATCACATCTGAATGCGTTGCGCTTGCGAGAACAGCAGAAGCATGCCTTGGCCCTTGCACCCGAAGATCGTGAGCCGAAGGTTATCAAGCCTTCTGCCCAAGATTCGCTGTCCGATCCTTCAGCAAAACACACTCTTAGACAAAGCGACCCTGAAAAATGCCCCTAAGCAAGGGGACCTTTTAAAAGTGCCCCGAAACTGGATTTGGGGGGGTGTTTTTGTAGAACGGTGGAACTCAGTGAGATATGCACCAAGCAAAGGGGTGACCCTTAACAAGTGCCCCAAAACCTTTTTTAAGCACCCGAAACTGGATTTGGGGGGTGGTTTTGGTCGAACGGTGGAACTCAGTGAGACATGCACCCAAGCCAAGGGGTGACCCTTGACAAGTGCCCCAAAACCAGTTTTAAACCCCCAAAACTGTTTTTTGTGGACATCAGAAAGATAAGGATTGCAGCAAAGAACGAATCCAGTCCTGAATATGCTTTCGGCACGTGACTGAATCGTGGACTAAACGTTGTAGAATCGTACCCTTGCCTTGCTTGGCTATGATGATCTTCGGTGGCTTGTGGGTTTTTTGATAGAACCCAGTGACCCAGGTTAAGGGGGCCTTGTAAAACGGGATTTGCGGGTTTTGATTAGAACCAGACAAATGCAATCAGGGGGCGGTTTTGGTGGAAACAAGCAAAGGCGTGACCCTGAACAAGTGCCCCAAAACCAGTTTTAAACCCCCGAAACTGGATTTGGGTTGGGGCCGTTGGTGGAACCCTGCAAGAGATGAAGGGGGAAACCAGTTTTACACCCCCGAACCCAGTAACATATATTCTAAACACAAAACCCTTTAGTAGTAGCTCATGTTCTACCAAAACGTAAGTTTTAAAAACGTAAGTTCTTAAAACGTAAGTTGCGAGTTTCGAAACGCGAGTTTCGGGTGCGCTAACCACGTATTACCATGAACTCCAAACAAAGCAGTCTAATTTTAGAGATATCCCCAATATGGTGACCTAACATGATTTCATTTGCGTTGTGTGGTGTGGTTATCTCCACGTCAGGAACTATTCCTGCACGGAAGCATGCACCGTGCTCCAAAAGATCCTCAAAATCAGGGACCTTTGTGTTCAACCCGGCCTGGTTGCGAACACTTCGAACTCAAAGCAGCCCTCCAGAATAGAACCCCTGCAGATGAGGCGGAGCTGACTTCGGACCAATTAGACTTGCAGGCCAAGTTCAAAATCCACTTTGCAAACTATCACCCATCGGTCTCCAGCATGAGTAGGGATCAAAAGGAAAACACTAGTTCGAAAGACTGGCGAAGGCGAACTTTGAGGGTTCCTCTTGAAAGTCCATAGTAAACCTCCAGACCTCCGTGCCAGACTCCCCCTCAATGAACTTGGTGCAAAATGAGCGAAGTCTTGTCCTCCAAGACAAAACAAACGCAGAGCACCCCTGGACAGGGACTGCGCAATAGGACACACCCTCTCCCCCCACAGGTGGTCCGAGAGGATGCCGTGCACCACTGCGCCCAGCACTGAAGAGGCGCCGCGAGCCTGGTGGGTGGATCGAATGAAGGGTGTCACTATGTGTCACTTGGTGGTTTGGGGTTCCTTTCTTGGGCTTTGTTAAACTGGGGTAGTGTTGAGTCGAAGCTGCGGAAAAGTTGGTGATTTGTTCATCGCGGTGATTCGATGGTGAGTTTAACTATTGAAATAGAATCAGTTTTGCCAGGAAGCGTCAGCCCGGTACCAACTGAAAGTGATTGCATGTTGAGGATTCTCAAACTTGCCTTTGGGATTTCCCACGCCAGGCAGGTTTGCATCTCCATGATTGTCGGGGACAGGGTAGGCCCGGGTACGCATCCTTCTAAGAGGGTATGGCTTTAAGAGGAAACCAACACAGAACCAAACATGTTGGACGGGGTGCCTAGGATTGACACACACACACACAAGCACAAAAACAGCCCCGATTTTAAGATACTACAAAACTGTTCAAAGCAGCTTTCTCCTGGTAAACTTGCGCTGCAAGCAAGTAGGCATGGGGATGCGGAGAACGGGTCAGGGGTAGGGGCTGTGCTTTGGGCCGTTAAACGTTCTTTTCATATCCTTTGATCATCTCAAACATTCACTGACCGCGATAAAATCATTTGAGCCCACCCTTTCTCATGCCTTACCCGTTCCTTCCTCCTCGCTGTTAAGACCCGAGGGAAAGGGGTAGGAAGAGATCCATTCCTTCACCATCCTATCTCCTGCTGTCTATGAGTGAGCACCCTGGCTGCGGTCGCGTAGCGCCCAGAAACATGCGCTCATGTGCGTTTGAAGCAACTAAAACTGATTTGCGTGCTCAAAATGCTGCAGTGCAAAACATGCGTTTCAGAGCATGGTATACCCTCTCCTCAGATAGTTCGGGGTATACCCCGTTCTCAGAATTGCATGTATGCAATTGTTCACATCCATTTCATGTACAAATGTCCGAGTAGATATATATATATATAATGCAACAGATATACGTACACATATAGCACGCCATGGGTCCAATTTCTGCTGCGCCGCCATCGATGCGATCGATGCATCTGGTGCCCGCCCTCTGGCTTCAAACGTCTGACAATTTCACCCAATGCAGCCCAAATTTATTCCCATTTTTGCGGAACAAATGGGAACGCGTGTTTTCAGAAGCTCGTTGCGCTGACCGAAACTTGACAAACCCATCAGGGTTCTTGGAAATATCATCAAAAAACGTATGTGCCATGGCCAAAACTCCTATTTTCTACATGTTCGATGTTATCCTGTGATGACGTTTAGGCGTTGGTCGCAGGGAAATCGATGCGCGCGGACGGACCTACACGTGTGGCCAGGAGCCAAGATGCGCACAGGCGGCAAGCCAACTGTGTGAGCCAACTGTTCTACGGAAGGGTGCCGGAGCACCACGCGCAGACCACAGCCGCTCAGCTGGAATGCCTGTTGCGTTCCCTATGAGACAGGAAACAGCCTGAACACCATGTTGTGTCATCTTCATGCAAGCAGGGCAGGCGACGCCCTGACATCCAGATCAAGTGCGTATTAATGCCAGCCATCAGCAAATACAGATTCCCCACGTACAGTGTATTGCAACCAACTTTCGCAAGCGGCCACGCAGCGCAGCGTGGCATGGCAAACGTGAGCAGGTGGCTCCTGCTGCGAAATTATCGTTGCAACACGCTGCCAAAGCATCGGCCCTTGCTGCGAACACGTAGCAATCAGTACCTGTGCCCGCTGGACGTGCTTGAGGGGGCTCAGCGCGCTCCAGGATCACAACACGCGACCCGCAAGCTGCTATATCAGGTAGGGCATGAACAAGAGAATGCTGGTTCCGCTGTGCCAGTCCTGCACAGCATTCAGCGGTTTGCCAGACCTAATCCGATCGCACGTCTCACCGCCACGGAAGGTGTTCTGGTCCAAACATGATGTCCCCAAATGGTCGCTTTGCGAGCGACTTCCCCCAGCTAGACCCACCTCCATGTCGGAGTGACTGGGGGCGGACATCTGCGCTGCTCAAGTCGAAACACCACTTCGGTGACCACGCGTGCCATGGCGCCCACGGCCCTCTGCTGTCCCAGCCACGCTCGGAGGGGGTTAAAACTTCTCATGCAGCACATGCTGATAGTAGCAACCCTGCACCGGTTGTCGAACTTCTCTAGGGGTCCGTGACCATGCTTATGCAAAAGCAAAACAGATCCGGGTGCGAGTTTTATGAGGGTGCCCTTTTCCCCTTGTTCAAAGGGACACCAAACGGAAACCACCATTCTGGGTTTTTCCATAGCTTGACACCTGGGTGTTAAACAGGGGGTCAGACATGTCCAATTGGGACAGTAAACAACTGTGAAACACATACGAGTACGCATCCCGGCCTTGAGCTTATCCGCAGCTTGGCACAGAGTGTCCGCGGTATCCGCCAGGTCGTCCACGACGATGCAGGTCTTCCCTACGGCTGGGCTTCGGGAGGGGACAAACAGGTCCGCGACGGCGGCAAGCCATTGCATCTTCCCACAACCCCCCCCTGGGTCGAGCGGTAGAAACCGACTTTGACACATGTCACTCTCGGAGCCAGGCCTTGCACCTCCCCCACCAAGTCCACCTGGCAATTGCGGCCGAGTTGACATTTTTTGAGCCCAACATCGACCCATTCGGAATGAGCAGCTGGGCCGACTCCTTTGGAGCGAGAACATGGTCGGAAGCGTAGTTCAAATTACCCAACAGCTTGTGCCTGAGTCAAAAAGAGAAAGACAAGAGACCCTATGTATCAACGAGCCGCTGTTTTTAGCAACTTGTGTGTTGGCGCTTTGTAAAATGTCTGCCCTTGAGCTCTTCTCGCCACAAACACGCGTCACTGCTGTCTTGCACCCCAAGCATCCTATCACTCGCAAGCACAGCCCGGGGTCCAACCCTGGAGCTCGGAGACTTGGACTCAGCATGCGAGGAACAAAACACCTCAGGGGTCACACTTGCCCTGAGTCAGCTTCTCCGAAACATGCAGGCACACACGGAATTTGTACTCAGACATCAGTGACCTAGAAGCGCCGACAACAAAATAGAAAAAGGTTGTGGGCCAAAGGAAACAAAAGGAATTTGGTTTGCACTGAACTGAACTTGTTCTCATCCGTTGAAAGCGTGAACCGCCTGCGCGCCCGCGCCTCCGCCGGCTCTTTAGGCCTCCTCCGTTGCCGGGAGAAGATTGCCAAGGGGCAGCAGAGCAGCTTGGCCAGGGTCTCAGGCGCCGGCTTGGTTGAGGTTACACGTTGCTTGGAGCGGTTGCCTGGAGCGGTCGGCGGTTGCCCTTGTTTTTTATTGTTTTCCTTTTTCTGGGGGGGGGGGCTTTTTTTTTGGGGGGTGGTTGGCTTCTGGGGGGGGCGTGTTTCGGGGGGCTTTTGACAACGCACCATTTTTGCTGGTCCCCTCAAGACGTGCAATGAGCGAGATGAACAACTGGCTTGCGGGCATTCAAGCTGCTCGATTTGAACGTTTACTGAAAGAATCGGTTGCATGCTCGGCACATTGTCCGGCAGTGGCCCAACGGAGCCCTCCCTGTCGGCTCCGAAAAATGTGGGAGCCCAGCAGCCCAGTGCCACGGACATGGCTGACAATTTACGGCAGTTCAAACTGACGTCCCTCTTACACAGCCCCACCTTATCCTTGGCAGCCTGAGTGTAAGTTGAAGTCACCAATGCAGCAATGGGAAAACATCTGTCCAGTGAAAACCGCACCGCAACCTTATCACCGCTTTTTGTAACTTTACAACAGGCTTGGTAAGGGTGTTTGTGCTAGGAAACAACGCTCTAAACTGCTACTATATACACACAAACGAACAAACAAACGAACAAACAAACGAACAAACAAACAAACAAACAAACAAACAAGCAAGCAAGCAAACAAACTGTCATCTTCCTACTTTGGCAGCTGGCTTCTTCGGCGCTGGTTTCATTTCTTGAATGTTTAACTCCGCACATACACCGGTTATTCTGTTGCAATGATACAAATACAAGTTGACAGCGACCGAAAGCAGCGCAATCCATCTTTGCAGCAATTCACGATTTCGCAGAGACGGGACTTGATTTGACAAAGCTTGCACAGGCAGCTTCAACTTAAGCGTACCGGTGCCTCTTGTCACACAGAAGGGTCTGAGGGCATCAGAATATCCTTCGCGAAGATCGAACATCCCCGGAATTGAAAGCGAACTGGCATTCTCAACATCTGGAACGATTCGTCCGACAACGTGCGTTCAGCCTTGACCCTTTTCAGCATTTCTTGGGTTCCCAATTTGCCAAATATCCCTAGTTCATTTCTTGCAGCCTTGCCTTACAACTAGGCTGCGTGAGCGTCTATGTCTGTGCTGTATGGGTGTGGAGAACAACAATAGCTTCGGTTCTCCTTTTGGTTTCCGCAGATTCGCAGCTCACATAAGCCCCCTCTGGGATAGGTGCTGAAGCTCGCTTGGTGCCGCCAACGTCCGGGCTGACGACAACCTGAGCGAAACTGTAGGCAAAGCGGCATGACAGGAGAGTCAAAGAATGCCGTAGCCTTGAAACTTGATTTGTGCGTGGCTTCCTTTCATTTGCGGACCCTTGAAAACTGCATGTTTTTGCTGTGCCCTCATCCAAAAGGAGTCCAAGTCCAAGACAGATCCACTGGGATGTTGGCAAAAAATATCGCATTGTGAGCTGTGCATGTTCTTCAAGCTGCATCCTGGTCCCAGGAACTTTCCTAGTCTTAAAGTCACCTAAGTTCAGCCAACAAACTGGTGACCGAGCAAAAGCCGACGAGGTCTGCCATCCCCAGTCGGTTTTCGCCCCAGAAATCGGAATTCTCCCCCATGAGAAGCGATCTTGTTGAGCGGCGATCCCTTGAACATCTCCTGAAACCATGCACCAAAACGTGTCTTTGGGGGATTTTCAGAGAGTCGGGGGCCCCTGTAGACCTCCCAAAAGTTGGGACCTAAGGCTATTGACATGATACCTTTTGGTTGGCCCGAGCACCCGCCATATTCCCCTTCTGCTGTCAAGAAAAACATCAGTGCACAACGAAACCACCGGATACATGCCAACCTGCAGCCCCAGTAGCAGCCAGAGATCTCAGAAAGCGTTCAAAGATCCCACTATCTACTGCAAGTTCAGAAAAGCTGGTTCCTTGCTTTGCAAAATTCACGCTCAAAGAGAAAACCAGCTGCCAAGAGGATATTCCTGCCACGTGGATGTTATTTTCTGCCCGAAGTCGAGAATGGATCAGGAGGTTTCGCATCATGCGCTAGAACTGCCTAAGAAGCATGAGGTGTTGGACATTCCCAGAATCAAGTGTATTTGATTTTTGAAGTCGACCATATCCAGCCGCCTTTCCAAGCTTGCTCACTTTCTGGCTTCATGTAAGAATGTTGCCTTGGTTTACAGCCCTCAGTGACACCCGACAGCCCCCTCACCCTGAATATCCCTCTAAAGCCACCCCAAAAAGGGTAACTCCCAAAATTGGTGGCGTTCCCTGCAAAATATCTTCAAAACAACCCCCGAAAAGAGTAATTACCATCAAAGAAAATGTATCCGTCTCAATACTTATCTCGCTCTCTCTCTCTCTCTCTATCTTTCTCTTTCTATCTCAGGCGGTTGCGCAGCCGCCTGTTCACCAGCCTCACGATTCGAATCGCTAGGCTGCCCAGCAAGGTCATCCGCAGTGAGCCCTGCGCGAAGTCAGAGTCATCAGAGCACCCGGTTCCATTGACCTAGTAGCCAAGGCAACTCTGTAATTAAGCACATCGAAACATCGATGGTTGCCTGGCTGGGAGTCATCGGCTGTTGGAATATAATGGAAAATAACGGAAGGAACTCAAAAAGCTGGCTCCCCAAAAGAGGATTCCTGTGTAAACCAGAACTTTGGGTTATGTGTTAACTTACAGGAGACATCATCTACGCCGAAGAAAACCGAGAAACCAACTTGTTTTAGAGAAATCTCGTTTTGAGGTCCCTGCGGGCTTCCCGTTAATTCGCAGGGGAGCATGGGGACAGTACCCGATTCTGTGGGAATTTCCATTCTCACGCCTGCTGTATCCCTCAGTGTTCCATCCTCCTGACCACTTTGCCGCCATCAATAGGGTTCTTTGGTACGCGGTAGACTGAAACTCAATTGAATTCTGGCTTTACCAAAATGGTTCCAAAGGCTTACTTATATAAGCCTTGCCATACACTGAATCAATGAAGCCAGGTAATAGAATCATGTACTACAACAGGAGGCTTCCTTGTGCAATCTGCCTTGATACTTGCAGACACCACCCAGGTTGAAACCAGAATTGTCCTCAAAATGCCATCGTCAGATGAGAACTAGTGTAGACGTGACAACATTACCGGGGCCCCCCCGTTCCTTCCTCTTCGGTACTCTTTGGCCCTCTTCTGTTGCCAAAAAGGATGCCCCCTTTCTGCGGGTCCCGTAATAAGCTACTACTTGGGGTCTGCAGGAACAATCGGGAGTTGAGTATTGGTTTAGAACTTAGTATTGGCGATTTGGGATATTGTACTGTCTGTTTCTGAATGGGGGGAACTTTATTATCGAGGGGAAGAGACCAATCGACACCAGCACGCAACAGCCATGCTTGAATCTGCAGTAGTAATCCTATTTTTGTTTGGGGGAACAGATTACATTCGGAACGACCTGCCGCAAACGCTGCTTGACGATCTGCTTTGTCCGCTTATTTTGGGCATTGGGCCTCTTTGCGCGCATTGTGCGCTATCCCCCCGCCCAGGGGACGAAAAGACACCAATGCAATGTATGATTGATCCGTCACCTTCGATTCGCCTGGTTTTATCCAAACTTGAGAACTTTCGAAGATGAGACGCCCTTGACAACGCCTTTTTCGTGTTTCTCGCGACGCTCTTTGTAACACACCTATGTTGCCGGATTGAGTATGAGATTTCATGAGGGACCCTCTGGCGAGTTACATGAAATTTATGTCCACCCAGCACTCCGTAGCGTGTTCCTTTCTCGCCTCAACAAGGACCCGATCACAGCCTTTTGCTAAGCGTGGGCTGAAAAGGAAAGTCCAGAAGCTTGAAAGGTCGCCATGGACGAACAAAAACACCAACACACAAGCAAACAAACAAGCAAACTAACCCAACAAACCAGCCAACCAAACCAACAAACAAACACACAAAAGAAACAAACAACCACGCAACATCAAGCAACACAAAACATCAGCGCCGCTGGACCGCGCCTCTCTGCTGCATTACCTTCTCAACTTCTTTGGCCAACATCGGGAGAGCCTCGGATTCGGACTGGGGACATGGAGGAAACCTGCGAGAGGAAAACCTGCGCCAAGATTTGTCCAGAAACAGGACTCCTGTTTAGACCCTGTCAAAGGGGTCGGTATTTGGTCACCGGCAAAGGGATTTGGTCCATGAAATGCCATTTGGTCATCTTTTGGAAGGTGGAGCAACCCTAAATGAGGTATGCAAAAATAATCTCATGATGTCTCCTCTGACGGTGTCCAGAAATCGCTCGGCGGAAGGCCCGTCTTGGCTGGTTGTGGATGGCACCCTTTGCTTTTGTCTGAAAGGGACACCCAACAGGAAAAGCGCAGTCTTGCACTTCGTCCTATTTTATGGCGCACCCACGTGGCTGCGGCATAGCTTAAATGGACTCTGTCTCAAACCAGCTGTTTCAAGCAAACCCTAGTTTTGTCATTGGCAAGCTTGGAGTGTTTTGCATGAGTTAAACTCGCAACCTCCACAATCATTCAGCAAATTGCAAATGGGAGGCGTCCATGCTATGTCTTTTGTTAAGATGCGCGGAGTGTTCAAGTTCGCTACAACATACAAATTAATGGTCTAAGTTCATGCAGCAAGTACAAGTCGCGTTGAGTATGTCCGCGACCCTGCTGCACTTGAATGGAACTTGATGCCACCCTAAGATGCTGCTTCGTGGAAGAAGCGAACCTTGATTTCCGCACAAGCAAAACATTCGGGAAAGTGCAATGCTGAAACTTAGGACCGGTTCTGTTTCACGGAATATGCTGCAAGAAAAGCATGAATGCCATAAACGAGTACATAAGTATATATATATATGTATATGAAATGTGATGATATATAAGCAACAATGTATACATGATAACATACATGATAAACATGCGTATGACTTATTTGGCAAACACGCATACCGCCCGCAGAAACAGATTGTCTCTTGCGATCACCTCAGCTGTAACTGCTTCCGCCAGAATCTGCTTCGGCAAACCATGATCAGAACTGGCTCCTGCTCTCATGGATGTTAGGGTTTGAGCTGTGCTCGCCTGCTGACAAAGGCGGAATTCCCGCGTGCAAACAAGAATTCAAAAGGGTGCTGCCCAGCCATCCTTTAAGTATAGGCCCATGAGCCTACAATTACAACTCGAGTCTTGCAGTTGGGTGGAAGGGCATGGCGCAACTTGAACCATTTTGTTTATTAATTTACCCACAAGGGAATGGTACCCTTTGATTTCACCCCTGTGAAAGCCTCCGTTTCTCAGGATCCCTCCGAGCGCCGTGGCTCCGCTCCGAAGTTGTGTTGCGACTTCCCAGCGCTTGAGGCCGGCACGTACATGTTGTCGATGGGGAAGGTAGCAAAACCCTGGCAAGGTATTGCCGCAAGTCCGAACGCGATGCTTGACAGCTGGCCTTGCATGCATTTGTGTTTCAGCGTTGTTCCTGACTTCTTAGGTATGAGGCTAAAACATTTAACGCAGGTTTGTTATAATATGTTTAACATAGCGATGGCAGAGATGACGTTGCAGTATTGATGCCCGATGTTAGCTTCTCTGGGCATGTGGAAAGCTGCTGATATCTCGGCCTGAGGCTCCATAAGTTCATGTAGTCTGCTGCCCCCCGCCTCCTGCCATTGGCTCCTCCGTTTCTTAATTCTGGGCTTGGTTGGGTCCGGGTGGCGGGGGACGACTGGACCGCAGAAAATTACTCGCAAGCAGCCATCGCAGCCCATCACAAACCACCATAGCATTTCAAGAATCATAAGCCAATGATGCGTCCCGCTGGTGGCGGTGGAAACGGAGACGGTAGTGGTGGTTGCGGTGGTTGCGGTGGCTGTGGTGGCAGTGGTAACGCCGTGAACCCACAGCAAAACATACTCCCGGACGGATTGGCATGCAACGCAACACACCATTCACTTTTGGAAGAAAATCATTTTGATGGACGACCTTTCTCAGGTGCCAAGTTCATCTGCAGGGGGAGTAAGCTAGTCACAAATTTTAAAGCCAATCACCTGCTGCCAGAGATGATTCAATCATCAACCAACCACAAGGATCCCCCATAAACCCACAAACCGCTGCCAGTGATCCGTGTCACTAAGTGGTCAAAACCAGAAATAGGCCACCACACGTTCACGAATGCCCCTCTTCCGCGCATTTGCAGCTCAAGCTCTGGGTGAATTGCAAGACTTCCAGAAACAAAAAGCCGAGACCCCCAAGAAAGGCGAGGTCGACTTGGTTTCTGTCGCCAACATCTGCCAACCCCTCCACACCTCAGCTGGAGCCCCACTCCAACCCCGCCTCCGAAACCCCAGCCCCCACCCCCAACCCAGCCCCATTTTAGCCATAGGCAACACCTCGAAGTAAAATGGTCTACCCAAAACCATCTAACGCGCGGATATCCCATCACTTGGATTCATAGACTCCGCTTCCCATTCCGCCTGGATCTGGCTGGCATGCAGCTCCACAGTCACCACCCTGTGTGCTCCGGCAACCTGTGGTCAAAGCAATTTACACAAGGCAGACCCAGGCTCCCTTGTGGGAACCAACGAGAGGTCAGGGTTCCCTAAACGTATCACTCCTACAAAGGGACATTTACCCATCCTCAAATGCGCCAAACAAGTAATCCCTAGTGACCCTGGGGAATTGTTTGAACAGTATCAGTTCTTTGGGCACCTTAGCCTTGCTTCGAAAAAGCCAGCAACTGGCTCTCTGGCAAGGGGGGCACAGCGCTTGGGGTTCAAAAGACAACATGGCGCACATATACTCACGGAGACACGCATGTATCCAAACGACACAGTACCCGATGCCCAAAGCCTGGCTTTCCAGGTCCGCAACCGCTTTTACAACCTCAACATCAACCTTTCAGGCTTGGCGCCGCTGAACGGCACTTCTCATAAGCAAAAACGCAAAGATACGCCACAGCCGCAAAACAAATAAACATCATTTCGGGTTGCCGAACATCTGGCCTGTTCTTTTTGTTGGATCCGCTTTGGCGCCGCCCAAGGTGCCGTCTTTGCAAGGGGATACCAGAAACGGCCCCAAGCCATCTGACCTAAATTGTGGTGTGGATGTCGAGGGCACAACACCATGGCCACACCAAAACCCACTTGATGCCTAGGTGAAGGGAGATGGACACACTATTTAATCCCAAAAAAATGCTGAACAAACACAGGCAACATATTGTTTATAAAGGCAAGCCCATATGCTGAACAAAACACAAAACAGTATTTCATACATGTCACACACAGAATCCTTGAATAATTGATTCTAGGTGAAGGGACAAAACAAAGCAAAATCTCAAACCTAGTTCCAGAATTGCAAACCGTCAATCCAAACCGGCAAAAATGGACATATGTTGACATCTAGGTCCCCAGTAAATTAGCTTGAAGCGCTACTGTAATCATTCCGAGTCTAGAACGGTGACGGTAAGGAGTTCATTGTCCGGGTGACTCCCAAGCTCTCATCTTCACTTCCCCAGTTCTCCGCTTGGAAGCATCCGCCTGCAGGAGATCCGTCACTAGGCGCGCCGAGATGGGCGAGCGGCTTTTCTCCTGTCGAGACCCGAGGCCCTGAGTCTCTGAGGCTGTGCCCGGACGGACTAATTCGATCTGTCGAAAGGGAGACGCGGTTGGAGTGTCAAAGGGAAACCAAAAGCAAACCTTCTCCGCTTGGGGGTCCCTTTAGAGAAACACATTCACTAGTTCAGCACCCCAAAAGTGGATTGAAAGTAGAATAAGGAGACAAGCAGACTCGGAGTTCAAAGCGCATCCAATGACCTGATGCAACATAGAGCGCAGAAGCAAACAACACTGCCAAGGAAAGCTCCCAAATTATGTCTGGCCCAAGTACTTCCTGATTGCAATGCTTGGCTTGGAGATGCTTGGAGAAAAGGCTGCCAACCCATTTGTGCACATTAGTTCATACGAGGTAGTTCCACCCCTGGGTTGAGTTTGTTTGGTTGCTTCCTGTCCAGGGGAGGCCCTCGAGCTGGTTTGTTTCCTTTCGGTCTCACTTTAAGAGCTACGCACAAGAGGAGTACCCTGACACACGCTAACAGGAAGCCCACTCAAAGGGTCCAAAAGGTGAAGGACACATCATCCATCAGAACACCCCCCCCCTCATGCGTTGTTGGGTGGACTTCCCTGAAAACTGACAGGGGGCCGACACGTGGCCACATCCTGATTACTTTTTGAAGGACCCTCTCGTCAGGAAAACGCTCAGGTGTTAGACGCCTTCCTTCCGCCAGCCTTCGCGTTTTGCCGGCCATAGCCATACAACGGGATGATGGCCTGACGAACATCTAATGACATCCTTTGGTGTGTCGGCGTATTTACATGTTTTCGTGCTTCGCGTTGCCATTTGGGAATGGCCTCAAGAAAAACGAAAATCATGCACTTGGAAGCACTGGAACCATTTGGCAAACTGCCTGTATTGACGGCAGCTTCGGAAGTGATAGCATCACGTCCAAGCAAACGTGGACATACGTCGTGACCGGTCCTTGCAACATGGTTTAAGATTCCCAGGTTGGCACAAGCCAGGCACTTAAACCTGGAGAAACCAAGCAAGACCGAAAAACCTTCCCCATCTTCTGACACATGGGGATCCTGGTTTAGTGCACATCCACGCACCTAAGAACAAAGTAACCAGCCGTCCAAACCGGAAGGAAACTCTCAGAATGCCAAGTTTACTTGGTGGAACACTGAGTGAGAGGTTTACCTGACAAGCCTCCATGAGGTCCGCGAGGTCTCATCGTCAAGTCTCATTAAGTTGCTATGGTTGGTCAAATGATGTCAAATGTGAAGCTCTGTTCACAAAGCTTCAGAGCTTTGAGTGGACCTCTAGCCTACCTCTTGCATTGGTTAAAACCTGTCGGTGCTCTCGTCGCCCTGCTGCCGCCTTTGCGCAAAGGCTTGCGCAAGTTTGCAGGCATGTGCCAATAGGTGTTGATAGAGACCTTCTCGAGTACTTCATGCCCCAGACCTAACGATGAGCCTTTGTCATCGGAACTTGCCTGCTGAGCTTGAAATGGCCTCAGACGTGTGGTGCGGTGATGATATGATGATTACCTTGACGATGCGACTTAGATGCACATCAAGCGTGGCAAACACGTCGCTACGCACCTATAAAGGTCGTAAGTAAAATAGTTTCCGCGATCGATGTGGATAATTGACAGGAGTTTGATCATTACTACCCATCAAAACGGTGCAACGCCAACAGGGGGCATGTCATGTATGTGAAAGCAAACTCTGCAGTCATGTACCATCAAGCAAGCATGATACCGGACTCACCTGCACCTATCATTTGCTGAGCCATGCCCCAGGACCGCAAACTCTGAACCGTTTGTCATGCGCTTTTAGATCAGTCTTGTTCGGTCTTACTGTAAAGTTGGGAAATTGTTCTTTACACAGCTCGGCCCAGGTACTTGCAGCTGAAATTGCCCCCACTGCCCCCACCCCGCCGTGACGCGATTCGCCGCCCCACGGCCTGAGCGGAATCGACGAATCATCTCTGGACTCTGAACGAGAGTTTCCCTGGAAAGAACCGGGCAACAAACAATCCCACAAAACAATGCAAGTCCAAAACTGATCAGCCGGAGTAAAGGAGAGCTATCAGCAGCCCTGGTTCGTGGGAGGCCAGCACGAGATCCGAAAGGGAAGCACACAGCAAACAGTAGATATGAAAAACCAGGTAACAAAATGCACCTTCTGGAGCAAACACTTCTCGTCACCATGCATCATGCGTAGTCAAGTAATTTGATGTAGCTTGTTAATTGTGTTTGTGAACTCGTTTTTGCTGGCATGACTTGCGTTGGCTAACGAGTTACTGACTAAACCCGTCGTTGACCGTTCGTGTTCTCTGCGCATTGATGACTAGGATTTTGAGGGTGTAACGCGCGACCCGGCACGAACTTGTCACGGAGGTAGGTGAAGGGGATCCTTGTTACGCAGGTGTGTAACGGGAAACAGCGCTTGACAAGTATCAGTAGCACAAGAAAAACAAAGTGCCGCAGCTCCAGATCGAAAGCCGCAACTGGAAGCGCAAGCGCAGTATGCAAAGCGCGTCTCCGCAGCTCCAGCTGGAAATGTGCATCTGTTTAACGCACGCAAGCCAGGCGGCGGCAAAAAGGGGGTCGCTGGCCCGGGTTCGGGGTTGGGTCTGCAACGAGGTGTGTCACGGCTATGTAACGAGGTGCGCGACAAAGCAAAGAAAAGCGCAGTGCAGTATGCAAAGCGCAGCTCCAGCTTGGAGCTAGCAATTGGCTAGCCAGCCAATCGACGGCAAAACGAGGGTCGCTGGCCTGGGTCTGAATTCTCGTATGTAACAGCTATGCCACGATCAAAGAGGATTCTTTCTTCCGGCCCCTCCCTGCTACCTGTTCCAACTTTGCTTTGAAGTTGACTCTTCAGAAAATGTATGCTCTGCAAAAGTCTGCGCTGCAGGGCATCGAGGTATGTAGCGAGGGGTACGCAAACCAGCCAGGCGGCCATGATAATGTGAGATGTGTAACGCAGGTATGAGGTCATGCTACATAGGTATGTAACGGGGTATGTAACGAATGTCCGCATCGGCTCTGTTACAGACCTCTCAACACAAGCACTGCCACATAGGATATATTATTGTTGCTACTCGTATTATTATGTCGAAAATGCGTGCTACTCGTATTATTGTGTCGAAAATGCGGACATGTGTAGAGTATTCAACAAGGGTAACAGTTGTTCTTCGATTCGACACATGCTATCACATGTCCAACACCTATATGCCAATCTCGAAGGACGGCTGTATTCTAAAATATCCGAAAGGTGGAATACTGTGAGAGCTGAACCTGCTCACGTAGCACTCCCTGTCACAAACTGATCCCAGGACACGAACTGAACTGACCCTTGTCATCCTCTCCGAACGAAATACATGTGCACAAGTGCCCAGCAACCCCCCTCTGGGTGCTGAATACGGGGGGCCTGGAAAAAGCCCTTCGATCCCCTGCTTTCCTTCTGAGAAACATCCAGCAAGTAACTGTCGGCACCTCAACAACAGCATTCCTCAGGTTTGGGCGAATGGCGTCCAGCATGATGAGCAGCTCCTCAGCCCAGCCGGGAAAACATGGGGACATGCCTAAATGGAGTTGTGGGGTGTCAAACCAAACTATGTTGTGCAGGGGCGAAGTCATTGCGTGCATTTTTATCTTATGATCATGGCTGTGAAGCTTGCCAGTGTCGCACCTCACAAGTTTCTGGGGCCAAGGCAGGGAGTAGCCCATTCTGTCACTCTGCGAATGTTTTGCTTATCGTTTGCTTGTGGCCGCAGAATCCGGCTCTTGCGAGTCGGGAGTCTCAGGAGGGCAAGCAGAAAATCGTTGCATTCAGTAAGCAACCCCACGCACCGGTGAGATAGACATGTCTAAACCTTGAAGTCCTGAGGATAATCATTATCCAATGAGTTACCATGACATAAGTAATGGAAAATGAAATTGGGAATGTGGAATTTCACCCGTGTCCCCACCCATCAATTTCATGTTTAAGCTGGGGATGTTAACACTCCCATATCCCCGCCATGTGCATAACTCAATTCCTTTTTTATGGTAGCTTCTCAATGAGCCCCCAATCAACCCTCGACAAATCCTTGCAGTGAAAGAGCCAGCTTGTGGTTGGGCAGTTGCAGCCGGCATGAGACAGGGAAGCAACTGAAAAACCATCTTGCCCAAAAGGCACAGATCTAATGAACAAAAACATGAAAGCAACACTCGTACTACAAACACATCAGCTGTAGCAACAAGCTAAGCAGTTAATCGCCCTATACTGTGCATGTTCACTCAAAGCCGACACCACACATGCCTGTGCGGGTGTGTGCGCGTGCGCGTGCGCGTGCGCGTGCGCGTGCGCGTGCGCGTGCGCGTGCGCGTGCGCGTGCGTGCTGCTTGCGTGCGTGCGTGCGTGCGTGCGTGCGTGCGTGCGTGCGTGCGTGCGTGCGTGCGTGCGTGCGTGCGTGCGTGCGTGCGTGCGTGCGTGCGTGCGTGCGTGCGTGCGTGTGCGTGCGTGCGTGCGTGCGTGCGTGCGTGCGTGCGTGCGTGCGTGCGTGCGTGCGTGCGTGCGTGCGTGCGTGCGTGCGTGCGTGCGTGCGTGCGTGCGTGCGTGCGTGCGTGCGTGCGTGCGTGCGTGCGTGCGTGCGTGCGTGCGTGCGTGCGTGCGTGCGTGCGTGCGTGCGTGCGTGCGTGCGTGCGTGCGTGCGTGCGTGCGTGCGTGCGTGCGTGCGTGCGTGCGTGCGTGCGTGCGTGCGTGCGTGCGTGCGTGCGTGCGTGCGTGCGTGCGTGCGTGCGTGCGTGCGTGCGTGCGTGCGTGCGTGCGTGCGTGCGTGCGTGCGTGCGTGCGTGCGTGCGTGCGTGCGTGCGTGCGTGCGTGCGTGCGTGCGTGCGTGCGTGCGTGCGTGCGTGCGTGCGTGCGTGCGTGCGTGTGTGTGTGTGTGTGTGTCATGCGCGCGCGTGAGTGCGTGTGCGTGCGTGCTTGTCGCGCGGGCGTATGTGCGTGAGTGCTTGCTTGCGTCTGTGCGTCTGTGCGTCTGTGCGTCTGTGCGTCTGTGCGTCTGTGCGTCTGTGTAGCTGTGTGGCTGTGTGTCTTGTGTCTGTCATCCTCCCCTGACGTGAGGTAAGTTCACGCAATAGTAACCCATTCTAACTATTTAGGCCCCTATAGTGACCAACGCCACGACTGTGGGATTCTTTCGGACTCTTTTGGGGATGGATTCAAGCATGCTGAGCAGCGAAAAAGCAGCACAGCATCTGCATATCACGAGGCAAAGCAAACACAAACATCGAACTTGAATGACAATGAAACCAAAGAATCAGACATGCAAACAATATCACTTCAACTAAGCAACTTAAAACAAACTGCAGATCTCCAGCAAAGCTATATATATATATATTGTAGGGCGAGTCAACCCCTGGTTGCGCAATAGGCACAGGGATGTCTGACTGTAAATCGAATCCCAGAGTGTTTTTGGGAAGGTAATGCTAGCAATGTGTCTGACGCCCACGCCGCCAGCTACGAATGTGCAACTACAATGAGCGACGGCCTGCGCAAGGTGTATGCCATCCTTAAAACGCCTATGCGCACCTACGCGGATGGAGTCTGACTCTCAAAGTTTCTACGCGGTGTGTTTCGTGCTGAAACTCAGACGCGCGCACCTACGGGCCAACTGCGAAGTCGACCCTATGCGCGCCTACTCGCGTGTAGTAATATGCCTACGTGGAGCCTGATATGTTCACTCATGCGCGGGGAAACCCCCAGAGCACATGGACCTACCATCCATTGTTTCTAGTGAAATTCATTATTTGGGCCACCCATGTTTGGTCAATTGACAGGAGAGTACTGAGTACTTCGTCGGGATCTACATGAGTCCGAGGTCAAAAGCCATTGAGCGACGGATGCGGCCCCCGGCCACCAAATGCTCTTGCGGTCCCGCTCCACCATTGCAGGTGGGCCTCGCATGAGACGCAGGTGCCCAACAGCTTTCCCCTGAAATCTTGCGGAACCCTCCCGGAACGGAGCTGCTCCGGACTGCTCCGGTGCCTCTTTGGGCAAAGACTTCATTCCTTGGAAAAGGTACCCTCACCATTTAGGAACCCTGGAGGGCCGTGCAAAACCATGCTCGTCCTGAACGGGACCCTCTGCTGGGTTCCATGTTGCTCGGTGGGAGGCTAATGGAACACCAGAATACATGAAAACATCTTGCTGATTAATAGGTGTCCCAGTGTTCGATGCCAATTGTAGGCTGATTCATCAGATGTGAGCATTGCGCAAACAAGAGTGGTATCTCCAGAGCTTGACCGCTTCCGTGTAGAACAATATCGTAAAGTGCTGCGATGCTCCTTGGGTTTAAACGAGACTTGGCTGTGGCTTGCGCCATATGTTGTGTCCACGTCCGGGTGGCAGTGGGGATCTGTAAGTGCTGCCAGTTGAATCCACCAGCGAAGCTGCCGCGCCTTAACCTGTCTATTGATAGCACCAAACAGCATTCCTTTGGGTACATATCGGCAGCTGCAACCACACACGCAAGTGTTGTATTTCTTTGACACGCTCATAACCATAAAGAAGGCAAACGTGCCACATGTTGCCCAGTTCAGCAAACATGTTGCACGACATGTCAACGAGTCCTGAAGTCTTTGACAACCTTTTGTTCCATCTGCGGGCTTGCAAAACACAAGGCCCCTCGTCTGTCCAAACCCGGCACACAAGGAAGCCGGGGTCCCAGAATCCTCTCCACTTAAGCCACACTTGGCCACTTCCCATGTGCGTCAGGAGCCGGGCTGAATGATGAAAACATCGCAGTCGCGCACCGACTCATTGAGCACCACATTCACCTGCCGAGATCTGAGGCACCGAGGGCTCGGCTACATCGCTGACCACTTGACCACTATGCTAAGTGAGAAGGTAATTACCCCCACCTGGACCCGTTGACGGTTTGGCTTAGGGTGGACTCCGGCTTAGTTTGGGGCTGGTTTAGGGTTTGCTCAGGTTTGGTCTGAGGGTAAGCTTAAAGGGATGGTTGGGGCTGGTGTAAGGATCCTGGGTTAAATGTGGGACAGTACGTTGGAGCTCAGGCATAGGTTGGTTTGGAGTGCGTTTGGGGTAGTTTAGGTTTGGTACTGGGTTAGTTTAGGTTGTGCTTAGGTTGATTTAGGGTTGGTCTAGGGTTGGCTTAGACTTGGTTTCGGGTTGGCGTAGGGTCGGTTTAGGGAACCCCCCTTCCTTCTGTTGGAGGGGGGTGGGGAGCAGTCTTCCCGCAGAAAGGGAAGAATAGAACTGTACATGGAGTCTGGCGACATTGTTTGGAGTGTCGGACACATCAATGACACAACAACACTATTCCCCCACACCCCGGGGACAAAACGAGGGGGGCGCGGGGAGGGCTAAATACTGCGTGGCAACGCTTGGTCGAAGCTTGGGGAAAAACCGAAGCTGGGGGTTCCCGGGTTTAACTCCTTAACTCCCTCGGCGTGCCGCGGTCTGAGATCATCCTTGTCAAGGCTGGGCAATCAGGAGACTTCCACCTGCAAAGGGGAGGGAAGATGGCACAAAGCACCAAAGCAGCTCACCAGTCCGACTGAAACGCTTATTATATCCGACAGGGAACATGATTAGGCAGGCCCATCTCGCAATGTCGAGAGAGCAAGGACAAGGACAGGACAAAGTCTTCATCAAAACGCCACAGAACAAGGTTGTCAGAAAGTCAATCTACATCCAGTTTACCATTTCTCGGACTCCTTACAGCAACCTAAGTGGGGCTTCCCATGTCAAATCGGTGGCTACCGCAGCCATCCGCCTCACCGCAAGGGAAGCGCCCCACGGTCGCATCGCCCAAGGCAATACCTCGGTGGCCAATGCCAAGAGGGCAAGAGCCGCTAAGAATCCATGTGCGTGTTTTGAGGCTTGCCCTTTGCAGAGTGGTTCAAAGGGAAGCCGAAACGAACCCAACCCTACGTTGACACGCACCCCCATAATTTGGTCACTCACTGAAACTTGCGTGTGATGTTGGCTTCTTGGCTGCAACCCAGCAGTGATTGAGAGTTTTATTTCGCCGGACCATCGAACTGGGCGGACGACTCCAAAAATGGACCTCGGTTTTTCGGCAGCCTCGGTAGGTCATTTTGCCGGAAGGAGACCCAGGCTTCAACCTGAGGTTGTCGAAAATTGCAAATGCTCAAGCGCACTGAGCTACTCAGAAAGCCAGTGCAAACGCCCTGTTTCAGGTGTCGATCTATTTCCTACTCAAACATTGCACTGTCTAAGGGAGACACACTTTAGGTGGCCATGAACCTGCAATGCTTAAACTTCTTAGAAGTGCAAACACGGACTCCTGCTATTGGCCTTGTCCGTAAAGAGGGTCTGCAAACTGCGGCAGCAAAACGCCCTCATGCCCTGATGTTCTCCTCTTGCGCATTCGAGTCATGGTGCAGCCGAAAGCACGTCTTTTCCGCGTCGTGTCTTCGGGTTTCAAATTCGCCGATTGTTTGTAGCCGCTTGACCAGTCGTCAGCCTGACTCTCGACCATTCCACTTCCTTGTGGAATGCGTCAAAGTAGGGGACCCTAAAAATGAGCACCCTCAAAAGCACACCCATGTCGGCCAGTCTTACCCCATCCGGAGCCTCAATCTTTGCTCTAGTGGTGTTGCTGGTCGTCAACATCGTCGTCTTTTGCGGTTCTTTGTGAACAAACTGTCACTTGTGGTTGGCCATCCAGCACGAAGAACCCCGTTGGAACCATCAAGCCCAAGCTGAAATATCAGCGGCCACATACCCCTCAAGCCACCTTTTCATGGAAAGCTGTGTGTAACTTCCCGAAATTGTCGGTTGATTTCCTGGGGGGACTAATCCTGCTCGCTTGGGGGCTGATGTGTGAAGGGAAAGCATAGGGACAGCTGTGATCTTCCCTCAAACTGCAAATGAAGCTTTTTCAAACAGGTCCTTTAACGAGTCATGCTGCGTCAGGCTGTATCAGACTTGGAATCATTCCAGACCTCCACTGGGCAAATTCCCTAGATAGAAATCCAGCAAGCCCCAAGCCCCAAGCGGCCTCGGGCAGCGGGTCAGACGGTCAGGGAGCAACCAACTCAACCATGGGGCAAAAACTTACGTGCGCCATGGTCAAGTCCTTGCGTGGTCATGGACGTCGTCCCCTCAATAAGAACCTTTTTCATACCTGGGTCTTCCGTGGGCACCTTTTTCTGGATTTTCCCGTTTCGAGCAAAAATAACGCTCATTTCATCCAAAAACGCTCAATTGGAAAGGAAACGCTCAATTGGAAAGTGGTTCTGGTGCGTGTCCGCGCATTTCCGCTCATTTCCCGGCGATTTCCACTCATTTCCCGCCTATTTCCGCTCATTTTCCGGGAGACAACTTGCCAAATCATGCCAAAACAAGATTTCCGCTCATTTTTAGTTTTTCTGCTCAAAATCTGAAACGAGCAAAACAAAAATGCCCAGAGCCCTAAAAAGTGACCAAATGGAAGACCCAGGTATGTCTAAACTCTTATTAAGTTGATGACACACCTACCAACCCCCAGCAAAAGGTTGTCTAGACCATGCAGAGTCCGGGGCATGATTCCGAGGGACTTCCGATTGTGCCAAGCATTCTCAAAATGCTTGAAACGGGGAGCAGAGGATTGTCAAACAATTTGGGTACATCTGGATTGCCTAAAGTGCAGCCTGCGCTTGCAATCCCCAAGTGGAGGGCGGAATTGTTGGATCCCCGGACAATTTGTGAAAGCAACATGAGCATCCAAGATTGTTGTCCATTCTTAGGAGTGCGAGGTTGTAAGAAAAAGACACCTTGATGGGGCACCCCTCACTTGTCAAAGAGGTGAAATTATCATATTGACTTCACGCTCACATGTGTGTCAAGAGACACCCGTGCTAACTCGAATCACAAGACATGAATGTATCGCAAGACCTTTTTGCAAGACCACTTCGAGTGTGTGATGAGATCAATCACCATGCCTTCTCACAACGCCTGTTTACATGAGAGCACAAACATGCGACATGCGGCAAACTCTTGCGGCCAGCAACAAGTTGCATCACCAGCTTGCTTGGCACGGCCTCTGAGATTGCCTCTTGCTCCCTGACTCCAAAAGCTGCTCGGCAAGAAGAGAGTCCCATAGCATCTGTGATCCGGTGGAAGCCGGCCACTTTCTGTTGTAATCCCAGGCTTGGCACTGAAAAGAAGCGCGTGCAGTCGCGGACTCTGTCAAAACTCATGTGGAATGCGCTCGGAATCGACGCCAAATGAGCGCAAGGTCGATTCACCGCTCAACGCGAGATCAACACTGTGGTGTTTGAACAAACTCCGACACCAGAGGCAGCCCAAAATGGAAACAAGCGGGACTTCTTGCCAGGTGTAAGGGGTTGAAACAAAGCATCAATTGCATTTAATTGAGAATAGAAACAAGGAAACTATATAAAATGCCTTGGGCCGGACTCAAACTGGCTGTTGCCCTGCAGTCCTTGATCACCCCGCCCCCGGCAATCGGATCCCTGAGCATTGGGTCCTCCGGACAAATTGGGCCCTGAGATGGCATGTTGAAACTGCCTGACCCTACTATGATAATAATTTATGTGTTCTAATTGTACATAGGTTTCGGCACCAAATGCAAAGGCCAGTGTGTGTGTGTGTGGTGTTTGGGGGTTCTACGCTTTTGACCAAGTGATATGATGTCAGTGTTCCACTAACAAATGCAGAAAATATACACCAGCACATCTGAAACGCAATGTGTGCACGACAGGGTAGACATCAATGATGACACCAATTATTGCATGGCTCAATTCAAATTGGAACTCCTGCCTATAATATATGTATACAAAGAGGAGTAGTCCAACTTGGCGAAACTTATAAGTTCTGCCAACTGTATCGCTCGAAGTCCAATATCGCCCTCAACATTTCGACTCGGTCCATCTGGCATCAACTCTTGGCCGGCGGTTCAACAAGCATCCCCG